CCAGCTTTGTGTCATGTGCAAATTTTCTGAGCATCCCTTCTATGCCCTCATCCGAGTCATTTATGAAGATACTGAAGAGTACTGGACCCTGGGGTACCTCACTGCATACCTCCCTCCATGTGGACATAGAGCCATGAAGGACTATGTGTTGGCAACAGTTGTTTAGTTAACTGCAAATCCATCTGGCAGTGGGAACATCCACCCCGTACTGCTGTAGTATAGCAAAAGAAAAGCTGACCATTTTTAATTCTGAAAATGAAGGAACTTGGGTCTGACTGGATATTGTACCTCAGTTCTAGGTGTCTGGGAATCTGAGGCTGTATGGATCTAACAAAGTGTCACCATGCTGTGAGTTAGTTTCGGCCTTTTACTCCCAGTGGATATACTGAGAGACAAATGCTAACAGGAATGAAGCCAGCATGCATTAGTCCCTTCCCAGAAAAAATGAATGGCTCACATTTGAAAGTTGCCCTTTCTTTTAACAGGCAAAAGCCCTCATGCATTCAGCAATATGAAGTTCTGGGCAAAAGCTGCTCCTCTTTTGCAGCACTTCTTGGGCTGATCATGGGAACATGTACTATGACTTTCACACTGTCATTCCACTAAGTACAGGTAGGCCTCATTTGGCGACCACAATTGGGACCAGCAACTCAGTCATTAAGCAAAGCAGCCACTAAGTGAAACCACACCTGTGCTTATGATCTTACTTCAGTTTTCCTTTCCTTTACAGAGCTGCAAAGGTTGTAAATGCAAGGATTAGTCATAAAATTACTTTTTTCACACTGTCATAACTGCAAATGGCCACTAAATGAGACAGTCACTAAACATCTGGATGATAATAGCAGCCTGACCTTGCCAATTACCTGAGGGTTGTTAAGGTCTATTTTGGTGACTTGAAGAATCATCTTTCGTGAATGCTTTAATTCTGGTTTTCCTGCATGAAGCAGGTACTGGATGAGATCGTTTATAAGCCCTGCTCCATACTGTAGCAATTTATGGAATTCCACATACAGTAGTGCAATTTATGGAATTCCATGTAGTGCAAAATCCATATTGCTTTTGTGCAAACAGAGGTTGCAATAGGTGTTTTATTGATTTCTAATAACTGCTGTTCCACCAGTATGCATCAATCAAAATGCCAAAGTGATATTTTCTGTACCCATAATCCGTCCTTAATTAGTTACATCCACAGCATGGAAAAATCCTATTAATATGCAACATGTACTGTATGAAAACGCCTGGCAGGTGAATCTTAAAGCATTACCTTGCTTTTGGGTGGTGGGCTGGTTGCGATCTTGTCAGTGTGAATATTTGTAGGTGATACTGCTGCACCAACGTTGCTTTGGGGAATGCCGGATATTTTGCCACCAGGAGATACTTGCATGGCTGCAAGTTGGGCCGCGTATAATTGCTGCAAAACAACAATAACAGAAGCTGATCAGGTAGAGAACCTATCCCAGTTCAGGCATCTTCCCGCCTGGGCCAAAATAACCACTCTTAAAATATACTTGCAAAGGAGACCACGGTTATCTTTTGATAATTAATGGTGCAGAGGAAGGAGGAAGCTGAAAGATTAGATTATTGGGAAGGGGTGAAAAATGCTTTACTTGCTGATGTTTATTTAGGCATTTCAGATATTGATATTCCTCCTTTTTATCCATATGGAACCATAAGGCAGATGACAGTCACAGAAAAGCACAATAAAAACAACAGATGAGACAAACAAACAAACAAATGACAATGTGAAGAAGCAGCACCCAAGAAAAACTGAAAAGGAAAACACTTTCAGCATCAACTGAAATCTTTGATTTTGCCTTTTGGGGATCATGTAACAGCAGCTGCAATATTCAAATCGCAATCCTGTGTCATTGGTGAGGCTCAACGGGCCTTCTAAAGAACTCTGTATGAAGTTGGCATCTAAAAGCCATCAAGAAAAGATTACACCAAATCTTCCTGGGGAGAAATTCCATGGTATTATTGAAAACAGCCTATCTTGCACAGCCATCCATTGCCCTGGGAGTTATTTATTTATTTTTTATTTATTTATAAAATTTGTCACCGCCCATCTCATTAGAAAGCGACTCTGGGTGGTTTACAGAAATGTTAAATATTAATTAAAAATACAATATAACGGTTAGTCCTCGATGAATAATAAATATCTTCCAAGAAGTGATGGTAGCTTGAAATTATTAGGCTCGGGGAGCGTCATCAGGGTGCCAGCCACCCCCAAGGTTGGTTAAAGGTCTTCTTGCCCCACGCCAGCTGGCAGAACCAGGTCTTCAGTTCTCTGGGAAAGCTGGGTGGGTATGGGACCACCAAACACCATTAGAATATGAGAGATGACAGTCCTTGGGATAACTTAATCTCCAAACTGTTAAAGTTTTAAAGCTCTCCCTGAGTTCATCTAGCCACTTGAACTGGACTCAGCAACAAACTGGAAGCCAGGAAGATACCACTGGTCAAAGAAGGACTCTCCAAGTGGTCCCTTCCTTATTAAGAAGCAAGTGGCTACTTCTGGACTGGTGGTAGTTTGTGGGCCCTGTTGAAAGGCAGACCACTGAAGAATATAGAAGAATCATTTACTCTGGAACTTCACCATGGAGAAGTATCTTTGTTTATTTCCTTGGCAATTATACAATATTGGAGGAGTCACTAATGCTACTGTTAGGTCATTTTAGACTCTGGCCAATGGTTTCACTTTCTCTCATGAGTAATGAAGTACTTCAAAATTGGTTAAGCCAACCATGCTGGATTTGGATTTTTCCTACTAACTCCAGGGTAGGCATCTGATAGCCCCACTGGGAGTCACTCAAGCATTCTTAATTTTATTCCATTTTCTTTGTAAGATCAATTACCTTTCCAAAGCTACCTTATTAGTTAACGTGAAATCATAATTTGCAGAGACATTTTGATGTTTTAAGCCCTTCCATTTGTAAAAGCATAACTCTTACAAGCGGTAGTCCTCTGCATACTGATTTGGAAGTACACCTCTCTGAAAATGGCAGCACAAGCCTAAGAAATTGGGGTGGATGGGGAGAGATTTTGCCCAGATATTTTAAAACTGAAACTCAGTTGAAATGGGAGGAGACGGAAATTAAAACTGTGTGCTTAAATGTGTTAAAGCTTAATGATTAAATACTTAAAACAACAACAATATTTAGTACAGTTCCCGCCCACTTGGAAACCTTTTTATATGGCTAATCCCATTTTGCAGGGTGGCCCAATGTGCAGTGTAAAAGCTGGTGTGGTCTTTAGCCCAATCAAAGTTGCACACACACCAGCTGGAATGCAACTTCATTCAGAGAAGGTGATAGGCTACTTCTGAAACTGACTGCCCAATCACCAACACAACCTCTGACTTGTCATACAGCAATAAACCCATATTTGCTATTGACAATGAATTCTAGTCAATACTGGCAATGAATCAATCATTACACAACAAAGACGAGTCTTTTGTGGGTGGTTTATAGTTGGTCCTGCTCTCTCAGTTAGTTGCATGCTTTTTCCATGTATGTTTCTTTTTTTTAATCTGTAAGGCACCCAGAGCCTCAAAATTTGATTAAACGAATCAATAAAACAAGAAGCTGGCTTATATTGGAACGAATAGTTGATCTGAGAACCAGTTTGGTGGTGTGGTTAAGGCACCATGCTAGAACACTACCATGAGCTCTAGTCCCACCTTAGGCACAAAGCCAGCAGGGTGACGTTGGACCAGTCAGTCCCTCTCTTTCTCAGTCTAGGAAGAAGACAGTGGCAAATCACTTCTGAAAATTGTGCCAAGAAAACTGCAGGGACTCATTCAGGCAGTCACCAGGAGTCCATGCTGACTCAAAGGCATCCCCCCCCCACCAAAAAAGTTGATCTAGCTCAATATAATGACTATTGGCTCTCCTGGGTCTGAGGCAGAGAGTTTTTACATCATCTGTGAGTTGATCCCTTGACTTAGGCATTTAATTTTTCTCCCCCTGGCTGAATCTGTGAGCAGGGAAACTGGATGGATTTTTCTGAATTTCTTTAGGTAAGGAGAAAATCTTCAACAGTTTCTCAAGGACAGGATTCCTCTTTAGCCACTGAATACACTCCATGAGAGAGTTTCTTTCAGAAGTCTTCCCCTGGGACTTAATGAAGTATGAGAATCTACAGAGGCTGCAGAGATAGGACATCCACACAGATGGCTTGGCCACCTTGTAACTAAATAAGCGCATGAACAAAACACTCTCCCCAGAGAACATTTGCTTCTCTCTGGAAAGAAATCACAAAAGCGAATTCTCAAAACAAAACAAAAAAAATCTTCTTCTCTTCTGAAAGAAATCTCAAAAGGAAACTACCTTTTATCAAACTGAACTGGATTTTAAAAATTGCTGAAGAATCTGCTTAGCACAACTAGGAGATACTAGGGATTCAGCCTGAAGCTTTCTGCAAATAAAATAGGTGCTGTGCTAAAGTAAGGAAGCATTCCTGAGTGATCTGTGAGTTGCATTTTTGGGAGGACATTGAATCAGAAAGGAAGGACATTGAATGAATCCTAAAGTGAATTAATTAAAAAAAAAAGCCCATATCAGCATCTTATATCATGGATGATCTATAGGGTGGAAGAACAATGCTCACAATATAGAAAACCATTCCAAGGGATAGATTTTTCAGCGGGGTGGGGAATTAAGAGCAGCTGCTTCATCTAGGACACACAGTTTCTTAAGAGGAGTCTTGCATGCTGGAGGAATACATAGCAACAGTACTTTGTTAAGTTGCTCCTACTTGGGGGAAGTGTAGGCCAAGGTAAAGAAGTTCGATGCTGAGTGGCAATGAACGCATACAAAAATGAAATATGTAACAACACTGTGCGTTAGGCCATTTTTTCAAGGACAAAAAGGTCAACAAAATTATGTACCTTTGCTGAAGATACTTCCTATTGTAATGCTAAGTAATACCAGGCTATATGTGATAATAAACAGAGCAAGGACAAACATGCATCAACATTGTGTCCAATGTTACAATCATGCACTATTATTGAGTGATCTTCTTTTAATGTTGGACTGCTAGTGTAAACAGTCAATGAAGGTTGAAGAGCATCATACTATAGAATGCTAAACAAAGCGTACAATTTCCGAGAAAGAGTTTGGAATAGAATTTCAAGGTGATCAAGAATGACACAAAAAACTCTTAGCTTCTACGGTAGCTACCAAAAATAATGTGGATCGTATGGCCAGAAAGAGCCATCACTCTGAATGGTTCTTGCTCAATTTCCCCTACTGCACGGGAGGGCAATCTTTTTGGGGTTGGGGACGGCTGTTTCCTTTTTATTTTTTCAACCTCCAAGGGACACCGTGGTATAACCGGTGATGCACATGGTATAACCAGAGCAGACATGAGCCAAAGTTTTTGGCTGTTATTTTTTGGAGTTTAAGGTTTATTTAAAGGTTTAAGAGCAAAAATAGAGCATTAAGACTTGTGTAGTTTTCATGCGTGTTATGGTCCTTATTTAGAGCTGGGGTAGTCCTGGAAAAATTGTGCCATTGAGAATGGATCTGTTAGCATTTTGGTGGCACAAGAGGTTACAGAATAAGTGCTGGGACCCATATGAACCCAGTAGAGTTGCCCATCCTTATTTTATAGCCTGAAGTCCCGTGTTTCTAACAGATGTCAGTGAAATCACAAAGGTCCACAGTGCAGTAGCCAATAGATCCAAATATGGCATTGAAAAGGGAGGGTTATTGTCCACAGGAAGGCAATCTTGAAGGCTTCCACATGGGTTCCACATCTATCTATGTGGTTGCTAGGAGTTGAAAATGACTTGATGGCACATGATGAATCAAACCACATGGGGACATTCCACTCATTCCTTTATTGAATAATAGACCTGAAAGAGGTTGGTTAGGCCTTTGAGTCAAATCTCTAGCTCAGAGCAAGAATTCAGACTAAAGCATTCCTGAGAAACGGCTGCTTAGCCTCCACTTGAAGACATATACAATGAAAGGCAGCCCATTACCTCTCTGGATCATTGGTTCTAATGTTGAACAGCTCACAGAGTTAGGACATTTTACATACACCTTCGTATGAATTTGGAGAGCTCAACTTTCATAAGTGTGATGTAGTGGTTATGATACTGGGGTAGGACCTGAGAGACCCAGGTACAAGCCCACCCCCAGTGAAGGAAGCTCAGCGGGTGACTTTGGATCAATCACTGTTTGTTAGTCTAAGTGATCCCACCAGGGTGTTATGGAAAAATTGGAGGAAATGATATGTATGCTGTCTTCTGCTCCTGGAGAATAATAATAAAACACATACAAACAAATAAAAATAGAGTGCCCAAGTCTTTTCTCATTTAGACAAATTAGGGAGTGACAATATGGTAATCTGCAGCACTAGAATGGCATTAATGGGGCTTCACCCTAAGGACCATATGCCCTGTGA